TTATAATAAGCTTTCCTAAATAAGTGTGTCTTTAAGAGTTTCTTGAAGCTCCCAATGGAATCACCTTGCTGAATGCGTGAAGGTAAATCATTCCACAAGTTTGGCGCTGCACATCCAAACGAACGATCACCAAGAGTCGGTAACGTTTTGAGGGTAGTCTTCTGGAGCAAGAGTTTCGAATTCGATCTCATGCTATAAGACGATGGAGGTTTGATAGTTATAAGCTCAGAGATATAGTCAGGTGCCAATCCATGAAGTGCTTTAAAAACAATCAGTAGAATTTTGAAATCTATTCTAAACTTTACTGGAAGTCAATGTAAATCAATCAAAGTTATATGATCAAACCGTGACACGTTACATATTAATCTCGCTGCTGCATTCTGCACACGTTGAAATTTGTTAAGCTGATTCGCAGGCAAACCATAGTACAAACTGTTACAATAGTCTAAACGACTTGTCACAAATGAATTAATTAGTATTTGAGCGGTTTCATGTGTCAGGAACTTTCTTATCCTCCTGATGTTGAATAGGTGGAAAAACGCCGCCTTGCAGGATCTGTTCACATTGGTATCACATTTCATTTGGGAATCAAGCCAAAATCCTAGATCTTTAGCTTCACTAGACGCTGTGACATAAGAATCGCCAATACGCAAAGTATCAAAATTGACTTTTTCGAGCTGTTGTCGTGTACCAATAATAAAAAAATCAGTCTTACCCATAGATATCTTATATATACACTAGATAGCGCATCTAGTTATTCTGCAATTCAAAAATTGAAGCCGTGATTGCAGTCTCAGGTCGTTCCCACGAAATGAGAAGATTCGTATATTTTCTATTTCTTAAACAGGCAACTTAAACATTAAGTAAAACCTATTCCAAATACATTTTTAAACTATTCAAATGATGAAAGTTATTGTTATTTTTAAGCGTTTATTAGCGAGTGGGAACGACCAACATGGCCGCCATCTATTCAAATGGGGGTAACCGCTGGAATATTCTTGGTTTCAATTTTACTAATAAAGATGCGCTATCTAGTGTATATAAGATATCTATGGTCTTACCGTCGTTAAGTTTGAGTTTAGCATCTATGTTTTAATATCATCAATACAATTTTCCATGACAGTAACCGCAGACAGTTGTTCAGACATTGAATCTGGTTGAAATGAAACGTACAGTTGATTGTCATCGGCGAAAGCATGGGCATCGGGTAAGTGACTTTCCAAAATCTTGAATAATTTGGACACGTATAAAACAAACAGAAGTGGGCCAAGACACGATCCTTGAGGTACGCCATTTTTTAGTTCAAAACGCTTAGATGTACCAGCATTTACAGAGATGAATTGCGAACGGTTAGAAAGATAGGAGGTAAACCATTTAAGTACTTGGTCTTGGATGCCAAAACTGGATTTCAGTCGTTCGAGCATTATATGATGGTCGACAGTGTCAAATGCAGCGCTCAGATCCAAAATTACGAGTAAGGTAACATGCTGACGGTTCATGTTCATTAAAATATCATGCTTAACACGTAGTAAGGCCGTTTCCGTACTATGATACTTGCGATAAGCCGATTGTGCCTTTGGATAAAGTTGGTATAAATTCAAGTAGTCATTTGTCTGATTAAAAACAGCACGTTCTGTTAATTTAGATGTAAATGTCAGATTACTGATAGGGCGAAGATTCTCAAATACCGTTTCTGTTTTTGATTTTTTAAGCTGTGGCTGAACTAATGCTTGGTTCCATTCATCACAAAACACACCAGATTGTAATGATAGATTAATCATCCTGGTAATCACAGGAAGGAGAATATCTTGACATTTTAAAACCAATGAAGTGGACATTGGGTCCAGAGTGCAAGATTTTTTACTTGATTTAGATATCAAATCTTTGACATTTTCTTCATTTAAGATGTCAAAGGAATCAAAACGGGACATCAGTTCAGTAAATTCTGGGACAGATCTAGACGAATGGCTTGTTTCAAGGGCAGAAGAATCAAACTCAGCATGGATGCGCTCAATCTTCTGGACAAAAAATTCCCCAATATCATTAGCCAGCACATCAGGGTCCCCATATTCAGGAAACTATTGTGGCTATACTGGATACTATAGTGTAGTATAATGCAAAAACCCTAGGGAGCCACCTTAAACAAGTTGCAGCATGACGTCTAATATTAGACAGATATTTACACAAGCCTAAAAACGCACGTATATGAGCGCGCGCATGCATGTAAATATTTTTGCGCAATTATTCGTGCAGTACTGTATATAGGGATTATAGTAAAATCAATTCAACAACAATATTAGTAAAAGTATCGGTAAGCAAAGACTGCTTGACATGTTCCGAAGTTTGTATAGTTTCAATAATTCAACAATTTCATTCACCTGTTCTATTTGCATCTGTATCCAAAAAGCGTTTCCACCAGTATACACATCACATGTACGTGATCGTTCTTTGACGTGTTGCCATATCTTCTTATCTTCATCTTTGGTGTATTTACGCCGTCTAAAACATACACAACAATTGAAAAACGTATAACTTAATTAAATACACTTAGTCTTTTATTGGCCAGTGCTAATTCCAATATCTTACATGTATATAGCATTTGGTCAGAATGTTTCATATTACTGGTTTACAACATTATAACGTATAAAGGTGTAAATTAGGATAAACATTTATCATTTATAGACCCTCCGCTCGGGGGATTCGGCGAAATATCATCACTGAGGGTAATATTTCGCCGAATCCCCCGAGCGGAGGGTCTATAAATGATATATTATACCGAAAATTAAAAGCCTCCAAGTTGAGAATTAAAAACTTGACACATACCTTCGTGAATACGATGTTTTATTTTCGGATTAACGCAAGCATCGTCGCTTTTCTTTCGAATCACATATCGTTTGGAAAATTAATGACAACATTTTTCAAAATTTGCTTCAAAATTTTGAAAAAGCCCCCAGGCTTTACGTTTAAATTTTGATTATTCATCACTCATCAATACTATTTATATTTTGTCGGCCATGTTGTTGTCATGCGTGTTGTCTCGCGTGGTCTACGCGAATAATGTTCCACCCCATGTTCCCCGGGGAACATGGGGTGGAACATTTTCAAAAGGAACGCAGGCTCCATATTTGATGACGTAAAGCGTGATATCGCAATTAATTTCATGCTCACGTGGCACAAACTAAGTTTCCTGATTGGAGAATTTGAATTTGAGGTATAATATTTCTTGGTATACCCTTCTTTTATCTTGCATGTATTTATCTGATTCTGTACATGATAGAGCCCTGGGCAAGATACGTCTTTTGACTTACTAGGTATATTGTAACCGTCTTCAAATAAAAAATTATTGTTATACAGTATATGGCATGGTTATGATAGGGTATTGTATATAACCATGCATGAAAGTTCAATTTGTACATATCACTCTAATATGTGCTTTTTTATATAAACAAAAACCTAAATACGTCCATGCAAGTGCATAGACAATCTCAAAGAACACGCCCTACACTGGTATAAGTAACGCCCAATACTGTTGCACGCAAAGCAAGCGTTCAGTTTAGGTGGGCTGGGTTTATTTCAAAGCATTTTCATGCATTATGTACAAGGAGTATAAAAAAACTGTTTGTGCATTCCAGTGTAGGTCGTTACGATAACCAGATATTCAGGTAGTTGTATCTCTCTCAATCTGCATGCAGCTGTCATGTTAATTTTCAAATGGCCCGACTTCAAAGAATTTTTCTCAACTTTCGAGGACGTTTTATGCGGTTTTGATGTGGTAGCCCTTTTACACTTCGGCGTTTAATGTTATAAGAAAGGTTTTAGCATTAAAGAAATCAAAAAACATTTATTTACCCTTATTTACTCATATTTACACATTTACACAAAAGTTGAAGAATTTTGAAAATTTAGTTTTTCAAGGTCATTTGAAACCAAAAAGCCATTTGAAAATTGTCTACATTTTCTGATTAATTACAAATTTTATAATCTGCATATACATTACCCTGTCCCTGGTACAGGTATGTCAGGTCTATTCGCCATTACGTGGTCGATTATTTCTACAAAGAAAAAACCAAAATATGGCTGCAAATAGAATTTATACATTCATACACCCTTTTCATAAATGGCTGCCGATTAAAAATTCTTTTATGTGCATATAAATTGGCCCAACTAGCGTCGTACTCATGTTAAGATTTATAAGGAATTTCTACCCAGAAACGAGGCTAGTTGGGCCAATTTATATGCACATAAAAGAATTTTTAATCGGCAGCCATTTATGAAAAGGGTGTATTTGGTTCTTTTTATAAGGAAGGCCACTATTGGGAAATATTATACTTCGAAACATTCAAATATTACTTCAAGACCTCGTACTACTTTAGTCGAAGGTAATGAACGAACAAGAGAGAAGCATTAGAGAAGCATTTCAAAATTAGGCGACCAGCTAAAAATCTATACATGCAGGTTTAACATGTCAATCCGAACTGGGTTTTTTTTTTAATTCAAACTGTTTACATCAGATAAGCCTTCAGATGCTTGTTTCATTATGAAGATATTAGATTTGTATAGCCTATACATATAATTGAGTTTAAAATTATTCTCGAGATATAAGTGACAATTTATTGTACAACTTAAGCACAAAATTATGATATAGTCTAGCGCAATCGGGTTTGATACACAGCTAATTATACTATTTTAAACAATCAAAGGCATTTTCTGTTGTGATGACTGATGCTTTATTTTTTTGTTTGTATACCTAGCTTTATTATGAGTATTGAATTTTATACGCGATAAAGTTGTCGAATAAAAACCATATGCCTAAAATGTCTGAGGATCTCATTGGACATACGACATTCGCCACTAGTGAAGAACGTCGTATTAGCCTTCTCATTGGACGTACGGAATTTGTCACTAGTGAAAAATTTCGTATTTACTTTTCCCGCCGCGCCACTGGCGTACAAGAAAACAACGATCAGTTTTTTTAGATGTCCGTTCGAACACGGTAACGTGACGGTAATTCATATATTGTTTACGTTTAAATTTTACTCAAAATACAGTAATTGTTTATCAAGTTTTTGAACTTTGTAACATTGCAATGACAATTTCATTGAATAATTACGATTTTAAAGCGAAATAATTCAGTTGTTGTAGCTATTGTTGTACTTTTTTATGCATATTATATATGTTTGAAACGTTTGGTTTGAATTGTGTCTATCGTTCAGCACTTAAATTTCACTCTAATATATAATAACTCATATAATAAACAAATTACTTCATGGTTGATTCGCTTGTACGATCTTTATTATGCACTCGTTGCGAAAAATTCCTATAAACTCACTCGTTCGCTGCGCTCACTCGTTCGTTTATAGGAATTTTTCGCAACTCGTGCATAAAAATCGTACGCGCTCATCAACCATGAAGTAATCTCTATTTATTTTGATTCAGTATTTTTCTTTATATAATATTAAATACGGATTAAAAAACGACTTTTATTGACGTTTTCTGTTTTTAGTTCGCGTGCATAATAGTTGCATCACATTTTGATTGTTTATTTGTCTGTTTGCAAATTGTTTTTAAGTTAATTAACGTTTGTGTTACTTTTCGAAGTTTAATTTTACAATTTGAGTGTTTTGGAATCGTTATTGGAGAATTTTTCTCTGTGTGGACTGTGGTAATTAGAGTCATCTGGTATAATTAGAGTTTAATTTATGTCATGAACTGTATTTATATGTCTATCAATTTTAATGTGGCAAAACTTGTAAAATAAAATTTTATCTCCTCCAAAACATAAAGCAGGTATGTCATTTCCATGCACTGACAGCACTGTGCACTTCGCAAAATTATTTCATATCTACATCATCAAGGAAACATAATGAAGAAAAAGAACAATAGAAATTATTGCAATTAATTAATAAAGGGATCTCTGCTGACAAAATATGTGGTACTGCACCATGGCAACACAAATTAAAGTATTAACGTTTATAAAGTACCAAGAATTTAGTAAATTTATCCAAATAAACAAGAACAAAACACGCTATTATTAATAGTTTTTTATTGACAGAAAAATAATAAACCTCCACCTACTTTGTACAAATAATATAATCGTTTTGTTTTGTGGAAGCACAACGGTTTAATTTTTCATGTAACGTGTCTTGCAATGTTTGAAAAAATATTCCTGGGATTGCATTGCAAGAGGTTATATTTTATGCAAGTCGCAATGATCATGGTAAAAAGTGGCATCAAGACCCGTTTATGCCCGAATCCTGATCAGTGCAAGTAATATAATACTAAAGTCTCGTGGTCTGTTCGTTCGTATGCATGTATGTAGTCAAGGTAATGTAAAAAAAATAATGTACTAAATTAATGTAAGTCATTGGATTGATCGGGATGCACCTACCTGAAAAATACAAGGAGAACTTCGACGTTTCCAGCGAAGGCCCTTCGTCGGGAGGGTCGGGAAAATTACATGAGCTTTTATACTAGTGAATATTAAAGCGATCACGTATATATATATACAGAAGTATACAACAAATACAAAAAATATATATGAAACAAGTAAGGAATAAGTTACAAGGTGATAATTGAAAGTACTGTTAATGTCTGCGTTGACAGGCAAAGACAAATAGAGTTAAACATAGGAAAACGTTCGTTAATGACATGGGGGTGGACAGTGCCAAGTTTGGAAATGAGGCGCATATCATCGTCTTTTGCAGCTATCGTCGCTTCCAGAAATGGGACAGAAGACTCGAATTTTCATATCTGAAACACTGTGATCGCCACTATTAAAATGTCTGGAAACAGGCTGGTTAGCATCGTTGCCAATGACTGCACGCCGATGCTCACCAAACCTTGTCCTCAAAGATCTTCCAGTTTCCCCAGTATAAAGCATGCCACACCTACTGCATGAGATGCAGTATATGAGATGGGAGGAGTTGCACGTAGTGTTTGACATCGTTGACTGCCGAAATGCAGGTGGTTTGTGGTTTTTGCATTTGTTGTAGTTTGTATTAATATATTCTGAAATGCGATTTACATTTATTGTTTACAGGGCGAGTTACTCCGGCATCGGCGAGATCCCACGGCTATTATAGAAACTAGTAGTAATCCTGGGTGACTGTTTACATGATGCAGCCGAGTAATTCGCCTTGGCGAGTTCCCGGCAGAAAGAGGCTGGATCTCGCCTACACACGTAAAAACGCACAAGTTGTTACAAGTCTGCAAACAAAGTGTTACAAATCTGTTCACAAGCTATCAACAAGTTGTCTTCGCACTGCTTGTTCTCAGTTGTTGTAACAAGTTTGGAAGAAGCTGTTAACAACTTGTAACAAGCTTGATCAGACTTGTCATAAGGTTGTTCTAACAAGTCTGATAGAGTCATGATAAACAAGTTTAGGGAGCTTAAGCATGTAGGACGGCAACACGACGACGACGACGACGGCCAAAACAAATTCCTTCAAATAAATGATAGTAAAGAAAACTTGTCGTATATTATAATTCCTATGAATCTAATACAGTATAAGAAGTTGAAAAAAATGGCTTTACGTTTGGGAAGAGTTCTACTGAACCGAATTTTAAGGTGCACGTTGTTACGGCTTGAAATGCAGGCGTTGTATAAAAGACGTGAAAATCTGTGATTTGACGTTGTAAACAGAGCGAACTTTAATTATTTATTTATTTTTATTGACTCATTGTATTGGTTGCCGTCATCGTCGTGTTGCCGTCCTACATGCTTAAGCTCCCTAATGTTACAAGGTTGACGACACAAGCTTATTAGAACAAGTGGGACAAGCAGTGCGAAGACAACTTATCGACAGCTTGTGAACAGATTTGTAACAACTTCTTAGCAGACCTGTAACAACTTGTACGTTTTTACATGTGTAACTCGATTCCATATAAACAGAGCGCTTGTTTGTCCCGCCTGGGCGAGTAACTCGCCTTGCTGGGTAACTCGCCTCCATATGAACAGGTCCTAAATCCATCTGATTGGTTTATTTTTTGTATTATTTCACGTAATCACTTTTATATTCTTTTGTATAAAAGCTCATGTAATTTTCCCGACCCCAAATACTAACATTCCGACGAAGGGCCTTAGCCAGAAACGTCGAAGTTCTCCTTGTATTTTTGCATCCCTATCAATCCGAAACTTTCTTATTATCGCCACTACCTACACTGGCACAGACCGTTCAAGATTAAAGTCTTATATTATTTACAGACTTATGGATCGAAAGCTTTATCAAATAACTAGACGTGATATTTTCCACGAACAAAACGATTATATTTACATTTTCATCATGCGAACATACACGGAATTTATTACGGTAATTACATGGAATTTTCTCGTCGTTATCCGAAATTCTAATTAAATTAACTATATTTGAAACCCACGCTATCAACCAGCAATAATAACCTCAATAATACATTATATTTTGTAGATACAACATATACAACTACTAATATATTGTGCAATTAATGAGTAATTAATCACTCCAATCAATTTACAATGATTGAGTCACATACTGAATACCATTGGTAAACCCCAATTACCCCTCGAGGCACTCGTATGCAAACTGGTTATACTGTAACTCCTCTGTTTAAACGAGTTTGCATATGATTCAAAAGCTGTTTATCACATTTGCATTTGTGCTGTATTGAATACGGGCTCTTTCACAGACCCTCAAACCGCTCAATCTGAAAAAATGCGCAATGATCCATGGGATTGCTCTAACAAAACAATAGTGCAGGATGCAAATGACCATGGGAATAATTCAACACGGAGTGAGCGACTGGGGACGAGTCAGTATTGCATATACACTACACACTAATGATTATAATTAAACAGCTTTCCAGCCTAATCAAATTTCAAAGTTGAGATCAAATGTCCTTGTAAAGCTAATTCATAAGCAAACTAGTTACTGTGCATACCTCTTCTATTGCAACAAGTTTGCTTACGAAATTATTCATTTAACATTGAATATACAGTTACCCTCCCTTCGTCTCGTGAATATATTTTCTTGTTGTAAGCAATGCAACTTACGTTGTTCGTACCACTATATTAAGGTGATAATGTAGCTAATTTTCATCATGAAATTAATTTAAATTTTCTCCGACATCTACCTTAAGTTAGAGAACTTGAATGCTGGCTTTAATTAAAAAAACGGCACCTACTGTACTGCAACAATTGAATACTTGTTGGTTCTCCTGACTCCGAATGTTGACATCACGCGTTGGTAAGAGGTACAACGGTCTTTTTCCTTGTATTTTAAACCTCAAAGATCAGTAAATGGTATTTTGACGTTCATATCAATCATAATGTTTCCTAGTATATCTCTCATGTTCTTGCAAGTCCGCACACTAACAGGCCATGTCCTCTTAAATGAGATATTAGGTGATGATTATTAGAAAGTGTGTTCTGTCATGAATTGCTTAGAGGTCGGATATCTCAATTTTTATGCCACAAACAACACATTCATGAGGTAATTCTTCAGTATGTGTTTTTTTATGAACTGTTAAGTACCTTGATGCCGAAAATGTTTTCTTGCAAATATCACATTCGTACGGTTTTTCTTCGGTATGTGTTCTCTTATGTCCTGTTAAACTGCTTGACACTGAAAATCTTTTGTTGCAAACATTACAAGTGTAAGGCTTTTCTCCGGTATGTTGTCGTTTATGTACTGCTATGTAACTTGATCTCATAAATTTCTTATCGCAAATATCACATTTATAAGGTTTGTCTCCTGTGTGCGTTTGTTTATGTGCCATTAAGTGGGATGATTGAGAAAATGTTTTCTTGCAAACACCACATTCATAAGGTCTCTCCCCAGTATGTGCTCTTTTATGTATTGCCAAACTGTTTATTGCTACAAATCTCTTGTTGCAAACATCACATTCATAAGGTTTGTATCCAGTATGTGTTCTTTTATGTACTTCTAAGTTTGATAACTTGGCACATTTTTTCTGGCAAACATCACATTCATAAGGTCTTTCACCAGTGTGCGTTCTTTTATGGTGTACCAAGATGTCACGTCGAGAAAATCTCTTTTTGCAAACATCACATTCATAAGGTTTCTCTCCAGTATGTGTTCTTTTATGTGTTACCAAAGAACTAGTATGTGATAAGATCTTGTTACAGAACTCACATTCCATGCTGTCAGATAAAATAATAAACAAACTACGTATAAAGACCTCGGAGTATCAGGCCCTGTTTTCCCTTTCTTAATTAAATGTGGGTGGATGGAAGGGAAAAGAGGGCCTGACACAAATACCTGTCTGGGTGCATGTAAAAAAGCGAAAATTCGGCTTTTCACCTGATTGGTCCATCAAAAATTTAATCTGTCTTTCGATCGGTTAGTGCTAATTTGATTATACTATTATTACAAGAGCGGCTGGTTAAGGTTTGTGTCAGGCTCTCTTTGTAAAATATATAAAATAGAGCCTGATACTCAGGCTAATAAAGACCTTCAATGCAAGTTTGAAAAGATATTAGTTGCAGAAACTAAAGCACTGAACCACCTATCCCCCCCCCCCCAATAATTTCTAAAAGCCTTTAAATTATTTCTAACATAAATTCGTAACAAAGCTGTATAAATGATTTCTATTTGAGCACATTTTTATTATTACATTCAAATACATTTTAAGAAATACAGGGCCGTAGCAACCGGGGGGGGGGGCCTGGGGGGCTGCAGCAGCCCATTTTGTACTACCAAATTATAAATTTCGACATACTAAAACGCTGTTTTCTGACCATCAAAATTCTGTCAAATCTTCCCCAAAGTCCAGGGAATGGCGTTTCAGAGACTCTAAATTTAAAAATTTCCTCGGGGCTTCGGCCCTCGCTTTCAGCTCCCCCCCCCCAATGAAAAGAAGCTTCCTACGGCCCTGAAATAAGAACTGGCATTTGTAGTATCGAAAGAGCGGTACTACATTGGCAACCTACTGTAAATGAGCACCAACAACATATTTTGTGAAGTGTCTGTCACTGAAAGAAGGCTTACATCGCTAGCGTTCCAAGACGTTTGTTTTCTTTCCGAAGTTTAATTCAGGCTTCGTACACCTTCATAATTTAAAAAATCCATGACTTTTTTCATCCTTTTTCCAGGGGTTTTCCACGGGCATGTAAAACATACAAAACAATTTCCTTATGAAGCCGACAGGTTTTTGAGTGTTTAATGCAGTACTTAAGATTTTAAATGCTGCAAGAAATGCTGCGACTATATATAATGCAAGAAACTTTTGTTCAATCTTTCTTTTTAAGATAGCGTTAAATAGTTTAGGTATGATCCTATACCCAGCTCTGTAGCAGCTAATAAAAGGCACAATCTGGCCAGTGCTAGTGGTCACAATCATTATCAATCATGTATAGTATACTTTTTCGCTTAAACGGTCTGAAGTAAAATGCCGAAAATATTAGATAGCACCGGTTCACGAATGACAGCTTTTAGTATTACAAATCATTAAGACATATTATTGTGTTGATGGAAATCACCGTCGTTCTTAATTTCATGACAGATCTCATAGATATTAAACTAAATCCAGTTTCAGAGGTAGATGCGATACATTATTACAAAGATAAAATATCATATAAATCCTAAAAAGAAGTTTTCGACCTATAGTCATGTATTTAGCAAGCGTCATGTATTTCGTGCCCACGCGCGCGAAATTCACAAGCCGTCACGGTTGGTCAGGTATTTCGCAGAGGTCAGAAATTTCGCTTGACACTGGGGGAAATATCAATTCATCATACTAATAATCTACTGTAACTATAGGAACCCACTCCCACCAGATCTGGCTGGATCCACCCCTGTTAGAAAGCTTTATGGTAGCACATTTTTATTGTCATATGTACATCATAATTAATGGCTGAATCTGTTAAATTTCATTTCAAACAAAAGGCCAATAGGCAATACTGAATACTCTCTTTGGGTTTCTGGGCAACTTACTTTTTTTACCAAAAGTAAAAAAAAATGCCCTGGTCAGACCTAAAGGAAGAAGGCATGATAATGGGCGGAATTTATTCATAGATTACACTGTTCATACTTGTTGAATTTGTTCCGGCACATTTTGAGATCTCATTAAAATCCAGACATTTTAATATTTAGTTTCGATCCATAAAGTTACCTAAAAATACGATGCAATTTTGCAGGTACATTCTAAATTATGAACTTTGCTCATAGGCACTAAATAACCCTTTTATTTAAACCTTTAAGTGGCAATACACCCTACTTTATTATTTAGTCTGTCCGACATCAGACAATTTTACTTGATAAGGTGAGAGTGCTGCCACTCAACGGGTTAATGAGCCCTGAATTCTATTCACAGACAGGATTTATGGATTTTATAATAGAATATGACATTGTCTCTGTTTTTTAATAACCCCATCAGGTAAATGCTGCATACAGCATCTTGCTTGTAATGACAAAAACAGTGCGCATATTTGTCTGACAGTGCACCGTATTAATTATATTGGTTTATTCAAACAATCAGGTTGTTTTAGCCAATAAAACCTGAACCTTGTCCCCACCCAACCCAACCTGTGATCAGGCCTATAAATAAATAAATAGGCCTGATACAAACCTTAAGCCCCGTTTACACGAGCAAATTTTATTTGACAAATTTCATGTGACAAATGCATTTGATCAAAAGCTAGCATGCTAGCTTTTGTTCAAATGCATTTGTCACAATAAATTTGTCACAAATGCATCATCCACACGAGCAAAATATCTTTGACATATGAAATTTGTCAAATAAAATTTGCTCGTGTAAACGTGGCTTTAACAAAAGTCCATGCCGTACAACCGTATTTCGGTTGTAAATCTGATTGGTCTATGAGACAAAAGATTTTTTAATCTGTCATTTGATTGGTTGGTGCTAATTAGATTATACTATTGTTGTTGATATATTTTATACAGTAGTGATCACAACTATAATTAGATTGTCGTTGTCATTGTGTGAAATTTAAATTTCTCCTGCGACATTTTGATTGGATACTAAAATAATGTTAACAGAATGAGCACTTGGAAAACCTACTGCTCTAAATGCCGTTCTTTCAACTTAAGCTGTTGCTCATAATCTAAACTATTAATTTTTATATAGTTATGTAAATAGTAAGTTCTTTGAATGTTTGCATGGCGATAAAATATAATTGTTTTTGTTTGTGGAAACACGTACATACGTGGTGTTTCCACAAACAAAAACAATTATATGTAAATAGTGTTCTAGTCATTGTCTTTAATGTACTGTACATGTATGTCTACTTATTGTTTTGTATCAGGTTGGTCTTCACATGGGACTCATGTCCTGTTGACCATACCTTCAATCATTGTAATAATTTTGTATGATTGTAAAGTTAATAAATAAATAAACTTTGCTGTGGGTGGAAAGCGATCGGATTAAGGTTTGTGTCAGGCTATTATTTGTAAAATAGAGCCTGATACTCAGGTTACACCCAACCCAACCCTAACAGCCATGACTGCCCTTATCTCACCAGGGTTCATATGTACAGCTTCGTCCATTGAATTTCCAAACTTTTTAAAACTTTCCATATAAGTACTTACTATACAATAAAATTTCCAAAACTAATACTAAGTAACAGAAAATATTACAATGAGCACAAGTGCTCAACATAAAATGCAAATAAAAACCATAGAAATATAAAAATCTACATCATAATAAAACCCTTTAATTTATAGATTTTCCAACAGTGACAATAGATTTTCTAAAACTTTCCAGGCCCTGCAAAACACCTCAATCAATTTCCAAAACTTTCCAAAACCCATATGAACCCTGTCCTACAAATATTTGTTAATTCAATCCTGTTTGTGAGCAACTATACACTTTAATAATTAAACCATTGGACTGTATACACTTAAACCATTGGACTATCAAGGATCTATTAAGAGGGCAAGCTAAACCAAGGAAAGAATATTTTACTTCCTAGGAATGCAACATTGAAACATTTTCTGTGAATAACCAATCAACAATTTTTGATTTTGGCAGTTTGGAAACAAGGCTCTTTAGCCACGGTTAAGTACTTTTCGGAAGGGTGTATTGGGAGCCAGGTTCATCATTTATTGCAGAACAGATACTTTACTGCCTTTTATGTTAACCCTCACTCCCTCCACCCATGGGAAAGGTGGAGGTAACAGGAGGAATAGCAGGAGATTTGATGGGATTTATGCCCAAGGTCTTGCAGTTTTGATAATGGATGTAGAATACTCTATATTTCATATGAAGGTGGAGCATTTGAACTCTTAATTTCTTGTTATAGGGTGATGCGGTTTCGTAAAATAACCGAAACCAAGAATCGTCACAAAATAACCGAGATAACAGGCTCTTTTAATCAATGAAATTATTTTGACAAAATAAACAACATGTCTTGTGTGTTATCCATGTGACGTCTTCGCAGATGTCCGCCTTTCTCTTAGCTAATCAAACCGGAAGCTTTAAGCTTGTTTTAATCCGCTACTAATCCGCCAGCGCTTTTCTAGGCTTCTAGCATCGATTTAAATCGCGTAATCACCAAAGAGTATAACGTACCTTGCTTATAGTTTTATGTTGATCACATGTAGCATGCTTGTTTGTCTTTTTATTTTGAATTTTATATTTTGAATCGGTTTTTCAGGTAAGTCGGTTATCTGATATTTAGAAGACTTCTGAAACCGATCTGTAAAAATAACCGATTCATCTCGGTTAACCGAATAACCGCATCACCCTACTGTATCTTGTTACAGTCTGGCATTTGAAGACATTTTTGCACTGTAGGGGGTGGAGAATTTGATCAGTCAAATTTCAAAAAGTTCAAATTCCCAGCAGGCACAGATTTTCTGGGGTGGGGGGGTGCACACCTCCCAGAAATGATTTGCACCCCCCCCTTCCCCCCTCCCAGAGGCATTTGGCACATCCCCCAAAAGTTTTTGCACCCCCGCAAATTATATATATATTTTGATTTGATAGTTTCATATTTGATTATTCTTACTACTAAATTTGTAAAATTACCAATATTAAGGCGGTTTTCCAGTCCTCGCAAAAAGCTCTTTGCAGCTCGCTGCGATTGCTTGCATCTAATTAAAATTAATGGTTTAGCATTGTGATTGGATGAAAGTACTCATGCATCACTCGCAGCGAGGAGCTTCGTGCGAGAACTGGAAATCCGCCTTTATGGTCTCAGATCTCGCCATGCAGGCCTAGAAAACAAATTTTGTTAAACTTTTTCCTTGGCCTTTCCGGGCGTTGCCACCAGGCCCCGGCCAAAGCAAGCAGCAGCACACTCCACGGTGGGCACTTCCTCACAGGACTTTTCGATATTGTTACATTTTGGCGGGAAAATGACGTGCCAACTTTGGCGTCAAAAAATTAAACACAAGTTAAGAACATGCTAGGAACTTTTTTGAAGAGATTGTCCTACAAGGATCTCAAAACTGTAAAAATATTGAAAATACAACAAGGCAGTGCGAAGATATGGCGATTCAAAGTTCCAAAAAAATCTATTTTTAGTAACAAAATGGCAGATTCTTCTTAAGCACCATATCTTTGCACTGCTTAGGCGTATTTTCAATGTTTTTACAGTTTTGAGATCCTTATAGCACAATCTCTTCAAAAAAGTTCCTAGCATGTTCTTAGCTCAAGTTTAGTATTTTGGCGCCAAAGTTGGCACGTCATTTTCCCGCCAAAATGTAACAATATCGAAAAACAAAAAACATACGATTTTTAGGAATGTCAAGTTCTATCCTGTGAGGAAGTTTCGTGATATTCCAAACTAATGACAGAAAGTTATTTGTAAGTGGCCAAATTTTTTGCCCACCGTGCCCCCAGATATTTATCCACCCCCCGAACGAAAATATGAAAATCCGTCTCTGTTTCCCAGGGTTGGCCCGGGGGGAGGGGCATGTTGAAGTTTTGAATTGATTGGTATATTATAGAAAAACTATTAAAAAACCCCAAAGGGTAAAGATTTAGCAAATTAGAAATTTTTACAGATTATCTGGCCAAACTTATCAATGACAAAACTCTTTGACAGAAGATGTATTTAAAGTTATTACCAAAAGCTAGCAAAATCGCCTCAGTTCATACTATTTTCAACCACGTTTGACCACCCCAATGTTGTTTCTCCAGGTTTTCTGGTCCGTCACTCAATTTTAGCCACAGAGGATTTGGAGCTATCCAGGAACTGCCCCAGGTAGGTGGCTGAGTTTCAACTGAAAAGTCATTCCCAAGTATGGTCGCGTTTGTGCGCATTCAGATTGGCAAAAACAAATCTGAAATCTTCCACCTTTCCCCAGGGTGGGGGAAGTGGGGGATTTAACTCATGTATCGTGCCTTTTAAGCTATAAAATACACATACACTTTGGTAGCAAGCAGAAATATCAACAGAAAATGACAGTATTTTAATATGTTAGTATAATATAATTATAAACAAACAAGTAAAACTTGACTTTTAATATTTCGACGCCTAAATATAATCGAGAATATAATCGTTTTATATCAACATTTGATCAGATGACTCACCTTAATCGTGAATCACTGGTGTAGCCTTCCTGCTTAAAAAGCACAAAATAACAAGAATCTTTCTTTTATTTCTTTCTTAAGGTCCTTATATAATTTATCCAGCGATTTCAAGTAAGATGCAAAATAAATCAAATTTACTGTAAAGCAATGTCCTTTGTCTCCTGATTTAGCGCGTTTGACGCCGACTGACAGCCGGAAAATCTTGCCGGAAAATTTGTCTCCGATTGCTCGGCTGCACTGAGCTGTATAATAACTGGAGGACATGCTCCTTAATTCCACAGAATAACAGAATACTATACAAAAGTCCATCTCCATTGTTTTTTGCGTAAGCGCTATTCGTCATGATTCGTCACTCAACAAGTACCGTAAACAGAAGCAGTCAGCCCCTGGAAATATTCAAAATGGCACACGTCCAGGGGGTGACTGGCTGACTGCTTCTGTTTACGATACTTGCTGAGTGACGAATCCTGACGAATAGCGCTCACGCAAAAATATCAATGGAGATGGACTTCTGTATAGTATCACAGAATAAGGCACACAGAAGGTCGACTCGAGTAACCGCTGCCACGCCATGATTCATCATTCAAAATGCTGACGCCATGGTCCTAGCCAGTGCGCGTTTGAGAGGCATTCCCCCCTGGACGTCCGCCATTTTGAATATTATCAGGGGGTGAATGCCTCTCAAACGCGCACTGGCTGCGACCATGGCGTCAGCATTTGATGACGAATTACGGGTTGCGCCAAAATCATAGGAAAATCATAGGAAAAACCAAGAAGTCGGCCTTCTGTGTACCCTATTCTGTGATAGTACTCTGTGCTAATTCGTTGACTGAACGAAGTACTAGTGGAAGGTGTATAAAAAAAGGTAATGGACATTCAGCACGCTATTGTACGTGAATTACTCGGCGTATGAACAAATTTTTTTTCATATTCGGAAAGATCAGGCTTTTAGCTATTGAATGACATGTTTTTCATGCCAAGTGGGGGAAAATAAGCAAGTATACGAGTCCGATAAAAAATGTTAGTCAGAATCGAATATTTTCACCTCTGGCCTAATTAAAGCAGTGCATAACAAACGAAAAAGCAATTAATCACGAACTTATCGTAGCTTAGCTAAGATTTATTCCTACTTAATAATAATTATGAATATGTGCGTAGTTTATTGAATTACGAAGTGAATTTTCATCAATTTAAAGGTCCAGACACACCGGACGTGATTCGACAACGTGACCTTATAAACTTTCTCCCATGGATGATCTGGCATGGGTGGTGATTGTATAGGTTCCGGTGGATCAGGGTGTGAATTTGCTTGGCATGCCAAACAATGTTCTAGTGTTGTTTTCTTTGCTGCTTTGTCAAGCCGATTCTCGCAAGAGTGCCTTTGTTTTGGCTTGCCCCTGATGTCCCTCGTGTGCAATACTTACAACTTGTTGTAGAGACAGTGGAATCAGAATTCGTGTTCCCCGTAATAATACATTGTTATGAAAGTCGATCGTGATTTCATCTTGAATGTGTTTATATGACTGAAGTTGACTACAATTGGACTAATGTCCTGTTTGTATTGCATATCTCTCAGGGCACAGAGATCCTTATCCTCTTGCGTAGCCTTAGTTATGTCATGAAGGGTGAGTGCAGTTGGGACGGCTGCGACTGTTATGAAATTAACATATTCGTCGGCTATCTAAAATCTGCAGGGTTATCTTTCCCAGCTTTATACACTACTTTAAAATCATACTTCTGGGATGCACCTTTCAATTCTAGCTGGTGATTTTGACAATGGGTTGGCATAGATAAGTTCAAGTGGTTTGTGATCAGTATATATAGTATAAATGGGGCCCCATACAGGTACAGATGGAAGTGTTCTATCCCCCACACAATGGCAAGAGCCTCCTTCGAATTTTCAGTCTGTGAGGTACCGTTTTTCAGTTGGTGTAAGTGCTCGACTACCATATGAAATTATTTGTGTATTTGTTGACCCATTGGTTCGCTGAGCTAGAATGGCAGATCAACTAGTATGACTGTTTCTTTGCTTGGATCAAAGTAACTCATTACAGGCTTGCTTATTAAGGCAGTTTCTAATTGTTGGTATACCTTCTCTAGTTCATCCTCCCCATTTGAAGGGAATGTTTTTGTGGGCGTATCTTTGGGACAATAACCAGAGGAGAAATTCTTATATCATCATCGTGTAGTTTTTTTAGTACACGTTCAACTTTTCCTCTCAGGTGAAATGGTATTCTACGTTGTTTTTGAGCCACTGGCTTGATGGTTTGTCTATAATCAGCTCAATTTGTTTGTTTTGTAGTTTGCTTTGTACTTGCAAAACAGTCGAATAATTGTCTAAAATGCGTTGTACCCTTTTGTCTCCAATCAGAGTCGGCCATTCTCCGCCACAATTTCGACACAGAGATGTGTTTCTAGACTGCGGTTGACGCGTGTTTTTGCGTGGCACGTACTGTACTTCCTCCTGTTCACTTTGCTTTTGTTCGATGTCAGCCGCTTGAAAGCCGCTCATCTCCAGTTTACTAGCGATTAGTAGATCTTTGAGTGTCATTTTAGGGTCACGTAAGGCTTGTTTTCGCAGTCGGCTTGACGATTCTTTTGAGACAATTTGTAGCATAATCTCAAAGTCCGAGTCACAGAATAAAGATTTACTCCAGAAGGGCCACTTAGCGGTGCAACGTGTCGCCATTTTTTTATGCAAAAATATGCAGTTGACTGGCCAGAAGGCGGGGCCTCCAGCCAATACAGCGCATTTATTGGCCAGAATATGTAATCGACTGGCTAGCGCCATAGTGTGGCTTTTAGTTGTTATTGTTGTTAGTAAAGATCACATGCGCCTGCGATCTTGTTCGCGCCTAGGCGACCTTTACTTCATGTTAGTATACTCTTGTGGCTTGTCTTGGCCTCGTTGTTGTTTTATTCATAACATAGTATTAAAGACTACCATTTAAAGTCGTCGTTTTAGCTTCGCTGTCGAGTGCCCTCTTAAACACTGGCGTGGTGGCAGCTTCATGGATCATAAAGAACCCGTAACGTACGAAAAAGTGTACATCAAAGCATAAATACGAGGAAAAACTCATCGTATAGATTTACCAGTCCCAAGCTTTCGACAAACAAAATGGCGGCCGTTCGAGCACCAAAACAATGGTCTCTCACAACGACTGAAACAATAACTTCCATAGAGGCTTGGGAGAACAATTTAAAATACATCCTATCCCTAGACCATAATTTTGCATCGTTCCTCACCGCTGGTGTTATTTGGCTAAAGAAAACCAATGCCTCTCATCTCCGTGGTTTTACCGACGATGATGAGGACATTCCCAAGATTCAACGCCGTACCGCTGCGCAAAAGGTGACTCATCTCGAAATGATGCTTGGCCAAATAGCTAACTATGCTCCTGTTATTTCTCGTAATACGATTGTACGAAATTCGACCTCCATCAGCGGTGTATGGCAAGCCATTCGACAACATTACGGCCTGTAATCTACTGGTTCCCGCTTCTTAGATCTAGCTAATATCAAGGCCAAATTAGACCAGAGGCCTGAAGACCTTTACCAATGCTTGATGTCCTTTGTTGAAGATAATTTATTAACAGCAGCAGGCGGCGGAATAACTCATCACGGAATAACCCCAGAAGCTGATGAAAAGCTCAGTATCCCCCTCCCTCGAAAACTTTATTGTAGTCACCTGGCTCCAACTCCTCCATCCAGACCTTCCACGTTTGGTTAAGCAAAGGTACGGTACAGAGCTCCGTTGCCGAACACTGGCCTCTATAAAGCCTGAGATATCTCAAGCCCTCGACTCTTTGTTAGAGGAGCTACGCACCAGCGAAGAAGCCAAAGTTCTGCGCACAATCCACCCAAGCTTTGGAAGACCACCCCGCATCGACAACCGCCCACCTGCCTCCAACCGCCCATACCCCTCAAAGAGCAAAACGACATACAAGCCTCGTTCAAATAAATCCTGTGCACTATGCCTCCAAGCTGGCCGCCCCGACTATCGCTCCCACTTTTTAAGTACCTGCCAATACCTGCCTGACTCAGATCGTCAGTTTATGGCCCGAGCACGCCATGTTACAGATATCGAAGATACCCAAGAGTATGAAGATAATCATCCCGATGACAATTATCCACCTCCTCAGAGTAATTGTGACTGCGATCATCCCATCAACCATCGCTCAGCTACCTGCCGTGTAAATATTACACAATCTCCGTATCTCCACGTCTTCTACAATCAACACCCGCTTCGCCTTACTATTGATACTGGTGCAGAGACCAACATGATAAAGGCCTCCCTTGCCCATTACATCGGTTGCCCAATATCCAAGAGTTCACAACTTGCGTTACAAGCTGATGGTCGTACTCCGCTCTCTATTGTCGGCGAAACCCGCCTGTCATTGTCCCGTAATGGCAAGACCCTTACCCTCGAGGCTCTTGTTGTAGAAGACCTTGATGTTGATATCCTCGCCGGAACACCTTTCATGACCTGCAACGACATTGCTGTCCGACCCGCAAAGCATGAAATTATCATCGCTGGTTCTGACATTGTACCCTATGGGTCCCCCAATAGTTCCTTCAAATACCATGTTGTCAGATATTGTCATGTATTGCGTGCACCTCCTACGAACACCACTATTTGGCCTGGTGGTTTCCTTGAGGTTGATATCCCTATTGACTTTCCACCAGATACCCAACTTGCTGTTGAGCCCCGGGTCGATTCTACTTCGTGTCAATCAATGCATGGCTCCAACCCGGTATTCTTGAGTCTGTCGGCAGAAAACTTAGACTTGCCAATTGTTCCACCGAGCCGATCTTTATTAAAAAGAACGACCACATATGCCAGGCTCGCCTCGTTACAAGCAGCTCCCCTCCACAAACGCAAGTGCCCAGCTCACCAGACCGTGGACCCCCACCCCTACCCCTACCACTCCACACTCCTGGATATCATTCAGAGCAAGTTTCCGTAGATCCTGACGGCATTTTCTCACCTGACGAGAAGCGCGACACTCTCTCTCTCTCTCTCTCTCGAAGGAGTTTGATCGTGTATTCGATCCTGTTATACCCGGGTACAACGGCGCCGCCGGTCCCATCGAAGGTGTCGTCAACATGGGTTCAGTTCAACTCCCCCCCCCCCCAGCGAAAAGGTCGTATGCCCCAGTATGCTCGCGGTCAACTAGAGCAATTGCAGACTAAGTTCGACGAACTTGAACAAACAGGGGTGTTTCAACGTCCAGAGGACCTAAACGTTGTTGCAGAATACCTGAACCCTTCCTTCCTCGTCAAAAAAAAGAGTGGTGGCTTTCGCCTGGTTACCGCCTTCTCCGATGTTGACAGATACAGTAAACCCCAACCCTCGCTAATGCTCGACGTCGATTCCACTCTCCGCAAGATTGCCTGCTGGCGCTATACAGGGTGTATCAAAAAAAACTGAACAGATTTAAAATTGCTCTCAATTTCGCAAAACAGCTATTTGTATCCGTTTTTTTTATATATATAGCCTCTTTGGGTACTTATAATGTAGAATAATGAGAAAAATTTCTCGAACTCAAATTTTGTGAATCAGGGGGGTGTGTCTTTTCCAACAAACTAAAAATGGCTCGCGCACAAAATTTAAAAGCTGCAATCATATTTTGAGTTAACAGATGGAAAACTTGTCGGGTTTTTAATTACTGTACAAAATTTCAGACAATTTGGTTTAGTTTAAGCCCCTTAACTATTCACGCAAAGTTACATTTTCCCTAAAAATCAGCTATTTGCATGCTTAATTAATGCATTTGCCTAATTTGCATATGTCAGCAATATGCAAATTAGGTAAAGGCATTAATTAAGCATGCGAAAGGCTGACTTTTTAGAACAAAATGAATAGTTAGAGGGCTTAAACTTAACCAAATTGTCTGAAATTTTGTACAGTAATTAAAAACCCGACAAATTTTCCATCTATTAACTCAAAATATGATTACAGCTTTTAAATTTTGTGCGCGAGCCATTTTTAGTTTGTTGGAAAAGACACACCCCCCTGGTTCACAAAATTTGAGTTCGAGAATTTTTTTTCATTATTTTACATTATAAGTACCCAAAGAAGCTACATATATAAAAAACCGGATACAAATAGGTGTTTTGCGAAATTGAGAGCAATTTCAAATCTGTTCAGTTTTTTTTGATACACCCTGTATAATCGTTTCTGATCTGTCTCAGTCGTTTTATCAGATACCTCTTGCCAAAAGCTCCCTCAAGTACTGCGGTGTAGCTACACCCTTCAAAGGCGTCCGCATTTATACCAGATGTGCCATGGGAATGCCTGGCTCGGAAACAGCATTAGAAGAGCTGATGTGCCGCGTCCTCGGTGACCTCCTCCAAAATGGATGTGTCGCCAAAATCGCTGATGACCTCTACTGCGGTGGCTACACCCCTACAGAGCTCCTATCCAACTGGAGAAAAGTCCTGACAGCCTTAGATAAATGTGATCTCCGTCTCGCAGCCAAGAAAACCATAATTTCTCCTGTTTCAACTACCATCCTTGGCTGGATATGGTCTCGCGGCTCAATTTGTGCCTCTCCCCATCGTATAGCAGCCCTCTCTTCCTGCACCCCTCCAAAAACAGTCCGAGATCTTCGCGCTTTCATTGGATCCTACAAAATGCTCAGCCGTGTTATTGAAGGTTCAGCTTCCATCCTCGCCCCCCTCGAGAGTATTACCGCCGGGAACCAATCAAGCAGCCCTGTGGTTTGGTCTGAGTCCCTTACAACCTCCTTCTACCACGCTCAAGAAGCACTTTCATCCAACAAGTCAATTGTGATCCCAAAACCTGAAGACCTACTTTGGATTGTTACTGACGGCTCTGTGAAGATGAATGGTCTCGGTGCCACACTCTATGCCCTTCGTGACAACAAATTGCTTCTTGCTGGTTTCTTCAGCGCAAAGACCAGAAAACATCAAGTTACTTGGCTCCCCTGCGAAGTTGAAGCACTGTCCATCGCGTCCGCCATCAAACATTTTGCTCCTTATATCATCCAGTCCAAGTTCCAAACCTGTGTGCTGACCGACAGCAAACCCTGCGTCCAGTCTTTCGAG